CTAAACGAAGTTTTAAAAAAAGCTTATTATTAGGATGTGGCCATTGTTGGCTGGGCTGGCATTTATTCCACATCTTTAATTGTCCCTGGAAAAAGTGGCAATGACTTACTGTTGTGAACTCTGGCAGTCCATGTGGTGTGGGTAGACCCACAACACCATTAGGGAGGGAGTTCCAGGATTTTGACCCCATGACATTGAAGGAACAGTGACATATGTCTTAGTCAGGATGGTGGGTGGCTTGAGAAGGATCTTTCAGGCCGTGGTATTCCATTTGTCTCCTACCCTCCTCCTTCTAGATGGCAGAAGGGTTTGGAAAATGCTGTCTATGGAGCTTTGGTGAATTTCTGCAGTGCATCTTGTAGATGGTACACACTGCAGCTGCTGAACGTCGGTGGTGGAGGGAGCGGATGGCGAAGGGGGACAGACTGAGACCTGCTCAGACTGCTTTGATGTAAATGGTGTTGAGCTTCTTGCATGTTGCAGGACTCGCCTTCATTCAGAGTATTCCATCACACTCGGGACAGGGTTGAAAGGGCAGACATATTTTGGGGAGTCAGGAGTCAGCGTTACTCGCTGCAGGATTCCCAGCCTCTGACCTGCTCTTTTATATGGCTAGTCCACCTCAGTTGATGAAACCTTGAGAAACACATTCCCGGTTAGAGTTAACAATATTGTGGAGGGCACACTGCTCTGGCAGAGGTGCTGTCTTTTGAACGAAACCGAGGGTTCTGTTTACCTTTTCAGATGTTGTGAACACTGTTTGAAGGAGAGCAGGGGAAATATCCCCACCACTGTGATCAATATTTACCCTTCAGTCAACATCAATAAAGCACAAATTAACAGGTCGTTATTTAATTTTGGGAGTTCGCTGTCTGCAAAATTGGCGAATATGCTTCCATCGATTGTAACAGAATCTACTTCATTGGTTATGGGAAAGAAAACCCTGAAAGAAATACAGATGATGGAAACAGAAATTGTTGGAAAAACTCAACAGGTCTGGCAGCATCTATGGGGAGAGAAATCAGTTAACGTTTCGGGTCCAGTGACCCTTCTTCAAAACAAGGGTTGCATTCTGAAGAAGGCTTAACTTTTAACTGTTTAACTTTAAACGTTAACTGATTTCTCTCCATAGACGCTGCCAGACCTGTTGGGTCTTTCCAGCAATTTCTGTTTTTGTTTGATTGGTTGTGAAATGCTTTCGGACATCTTGAGAATTTGGAAGGTACTAAAGCAATGCACTCTTTCTTTTTATTCCTTTGATCTTTACAACTGGAAAGTCACCCACCAGAGAACTAGAAGAACAGGTTTATATTTTCTTGAAATATGAGCCAGAGATCTGTTAAACCAGAAGCACAGAGACTGGAGCAGGCATATCTTTGTTCATTGTAACGCAGTGTGGAGCTGGGGGAACACTGAAATTCTGAAGAAGGGTCTCGACCCAAAACGTCAGCTTTCCTGTTCTTCTGATGCTGCCTGGTCTGCTGTGTTCCTCCAGCTCCACACTGTGTTATCTCAGACTCCAGCATCAGCAATTCTTACTATCTCTATGTTCATTGTGTATTGTAAAACTGAAAGCTGCTCCTCTCTGAAACCTGTCTCTGGCTTTTGCCAACTTGAAACGCTGACACCTCTCCATCCTCCCCCGAAACCATTGCCTCTTCCTTAAAATATACTCACTCATTGGATATTGTTGACTCTGGCTGGGCCAACATTTATTGCCCATCTGTAATTGCCCTGGAGAAGGTGATGGTGAGGTGCCTTCTTGAACCGCTGCAGTCCATGGGGTGTAGGAACACCACAATGCCATCAGGAGGGGAGTTCCAGGACTGACCCAGCAACACTGAAGGAATGGTGATATATTTCCAAGTTAGGATGGTGCAAGGGTTGGGGAAAGATCTTGTAGGGAGTGGTGTTCCCAGGCACCTGCATGGTAGTGGCATGGTGGTAATGGCAATGGATGAGATATCTAGGACCTCCGGCCAATGGTTAGGGGCGTGCACAGGACAGATAGTTCCTTTTAGTTGAGGGGTGAAAAATGAAGGGCCGTGATTTTAATGTGTTGGGCAGGAGGTTTAGCACAGATTTGAGGAATTTCTTCTTCACCCAGACCATGATCTGGGATGCACTGTCTGGGAGGGTAGTTAACCTCATAATCTTTAAAAAGTACATGGATGAGCACTTGAATTGTCATAACATTCAAGCCTATGAACCTCATGCTGGAAAGTGGGATTAGATGAGACAGGTTGGCATAGATTCAATGGACTGAAGGGCCTCTTCTGTGTTGTATTTATGGCTCAATGGATTCAAGTCCCATCATGGCAAATAAAATCTGGAATTATATGGTCACCATTTGTTGAAAAGACCCATCTGGTTCACAAATGTCCTTCAGGGAAGGAAATTGACTATCCTTATCTGGTCTGACCTACATGTGACTCCAGACCAACAGCAATGTAGCTGACTCTTAACTTCTCTCTGAAATATCTAAGCAAACCTCTCAGTTGCACTGAACTGCCACACTCCCTTTTTAATGATCTGATGTAGGCGATTGATCTCAGATGGGAACTCAGTTGTGAGGGTTAATTTCAGAGCTCAGTGGGGATGAGAGGAGGTGAATTCACTTCAAAAGTACCTGTCGAAATTCTGCTTCAAGTACTGTGTGGTCTAGAAAATTCATGCTCTCCTTGCATGTTGTGGCTTTACATAGAAAGGAAGGTTGCTAATCATTGGGAATATCATTTAATTCTTCTACTTCTGCTGCTGGGAGTCCAAATACTCAATAGATCCATGTAAAATCTAGAAGATCCTAGAATGCCTACAGTGTGGAAGCAGGCCATTTGGCCCCACACCGCAACAATGAAGAGCATCCCACCCAACCCATCGCTGCAACCCTGCATTTCCCATGGCTCATCCACCTAACCTGCACACCTTTGGACTGTGGGAGGAAACCCACGCAGACATGGGGAGAATGTGTAAACTCCACACAGACAGTCACCCGAGGCTGGATTCAAACCCCGGTCCCTGGTGCTGTGAGGCAGCAGTGCTAACCACTGAATCACTGTGCCACCCCAGACACTGATAGTACATGACTAAATCACCTAATAAAGACCATCCATAAGAAATAGGAGTAGGAGTAGGCCTTTCAGCCCTTGAGTCTGGTCCGTTATTTAATAGGATTGCAGCTGATCCAATACTCCCACTTTTCCTGCCTATTCCTTTAAACGCACTAAAGGAGTTCATTACACTGAAAAATAATTCCTTGAAAAGCAAACAAAATAGTAGCCCCAAAATTCAAAAATAGCCCTTGGGAACATCTCAAGAAAAGCTTGATTAAAAAAAAAACATACTGTGTGCCCTGATCAGCCATTTAATCTGAGCATGGAGAGAGATGTGGCAACATTGCTGGATGTATAATCTAGAATTCCTAGCTAATGTTCTAGGATATATGCTCAAATTTCATCAATGACATTTATTGTCAATGAAAAAAATCTGGAATCAAAGGGTTGTGTCATGTGGAAACTGTGACTGTTTAAA